TAGCCTATTGATCAAGTAGGAAGAAAGGGAATACTTTACCATACTTTCACTTTTTCTTTATGTACTTGCCTAACAGTGTATATACTTTATGAACAGAATTTTACCCCGCAGCAGTGTGAAGCTGGCATATTTCTGAGCCCACTGGCACCAAGCAGCGGAACTGAAGTTGAGCGGTCTTTCAAGTTTATGTTTGGTTTGAAGCAATGAGCCTGCTTAGGTTTGGTTTTAATTCTCTTCTCCTCTCTTCCATAGGAGAGTGGGATCTTCCCACCTGCAAGAAAGGGAGTTTCCCACCTACAAGAGCTAGAAATCTTACTCTTCTTTCTGTGCTTCTTCCCTACCGTAGAGTTCCTTGCGTGTGCAGTGTTTATTTCCTCATGATCTGAGAATAACATGATCAGCTTGCATGATTTTACCAGATTGGAGATGCCGAACAGATTATGTTGCATAGAATTGGTCATCTCGGTCCACCTTGCTAAGAAATCAGGTCTCTGGGGAAGTCCTTTATGGTGGCATCTCTCAAAAGAAGCTTCTTTCAGGTGCTTGTGGCCTACTTCTGGCATTGTTGTGTGGGCATCTCCTCAGAGCCTTGTAGGAATAGAAATGACTTGTAATGCCTCCTGTATTCTACCTACTTCTGTTAGTAACAAAACCTACTTTTTTAAAATTTTGTTTCTTGACACAGTATGCTAGGGAGCCTAGGCGACAACTTGTGCTGTATCCCTGCTAACAGATCAATAAGGCTGGACTCCTTTCTTGTTGGCTGGACCGACTTCTCTCTATTTCTGTCTCTTTTTGCATTTTAACATGTCAGGATCTCCTTCCGCAAGTACGTACTGGAATTGGGGCTCCAGTCTACAAGGCTGCAGTGTGAGAACAAAGCAGACTTCAGTATTTTCCTTGGGACTTCCATAAAATAAAATACATAAAACATCTCCATTAAAATGTCTGGATTGATGAAGGAAAGGAGGGGGGAAAAAAAAAAGCAAGCCTTTTCCTCCAGCAGTGGCTTGATTAATGGATTTATTGTTTGTACAGATTTTGTCAGGAAGCCATATGGCTTGAGGAGAACAAAGAGGAAGTGGCTAATGTTGAGAATCTGATTTAATAGGGGTCCCTAAGGACAGAATGTGGCTCTCACCCTTACTCCTTCCCACTCAGTTTGCAAAGTGGTCTGAGAAGAGCTTTAGTGCCTCAATAGAGCTAAAGATAATGCAGCTCTGTTTGAGTGGAAGTGTCGGTCGCTACTGCTGGTTCAGCATCACAGCTACTCCATTCTCAGGTTAAAAATCCACTGTTCTTTGCCTGTTGTGTAAAGTATTCTGCAGTAGCTAACAAGGAACAGTAACTGAAATGTTTACTACTTGTATCTTGGCAGTTAATCAGTTTGCAGTAGATGAAGACAACTTCAGCATCTTGAAGCTGAGCTTTCATAATTTGGGGTGAGATGATATTTTTCTCCTCTCTATCTCTCCCTCGCCCAGCAAAATTCAAGCATATAGATCTCTGGATTAACTGAATCACCACCTGTGTCCTACAACCAAATTTGTTTTCCTAATCTAATGTTGTGTATGTGGGGTTTGATAAGTAACTGGGGCTCAAGCACTGGTGATTTAACGTGATGTGGTGGGCTAAATGGTCAGCATTATCTGCGACTGTTTGACTTGGTGAATAAACCCAAGTAGAGAATCTAAAGCAATGTTCTATAATGCAACTGCAAGCAAATACATTAAGGATGTTTAACACGCACTTCTTCCTTGTACGAAATTACAGCTTCTCAGCTGAAAGGCATAAACTCACCAAAAACTGATTATGGTCATTTCAGAGCTAAAGTAAAAGGCTCATGTGAACCTTTAGTAGTTGTTAGTGGGCCCAGAGAGTGGACAAAAGCACAAAACATCACATCACCAAAACATATTCTGACAACTCAGGAATTAAATGAATATTGGTTTGTGAATGAAAGCTACATATTCAGCTGGTGGTGAAAATGATTTGATGCATATCCTGAAGTCTCTGGAGCTCCTGAATGTCCTATTTTGAAGTTTTTGGCCATAGTGAAAGAAGTAATTACTCCTATAGGGCTTTGTGTAGTGCGTGTGGTCTAGTATTTTACAATAGGCAAGTCCTTTCTTTCCAGATCTTTAAGAGGTTTTTGTTGTTTTCTGGATCCTTATGACATGCTTACGCTGGAGTTGGTGCCTGTTGGATCTTTTCATAAAGCTCTAACAGATACTAGGAGAAAAACAGTTTGTCTAGACAAAATTCAATGGCTTGCAACAGTGGAAGAGGAGATGCTGAGAGATTAGAGGAAAGTTTTCCTGGTTTAGATCTGTTCTATGCTTCTGTCAAACTGTAAAATTCCCATTTAGTGTTACACATAATAGATGTATTCCCTTGAAATGTTATTCAGAAAGTCTTTGGTGGTGAAGGTTTAAAAATGACCACTTCTCACATGTTCTCCTTGGCTATGACATAGTACTAGGCAGTGTTTGTGAGTCTGTCACAATGATGCTGTTAAACATCATTGTAGTAAGCAGCCCTTCCAAGCTAATTAATATTAGTCTTAATTAGCAGTTTGGGATTTGTTACCCTTGCCTAGTTTGTTTGACTTCTTATACTTGCATTGGCCATGCAAGGGAGTCACGGTATGCAATTCAAGAGAGCACTTAGAGGTTTTCACATCTGGAACACCCCTAGTTTGAGGATTATTTTCCTTAAAAAGATAATTAGGAAAGAAGATTGCAAATATAGGAGATTATTCCACAATTTAGCAGTGGTAGATGCTCATGACTACCTAATACAGTGCTTAGTTTTTCCTGGTGTTCTGAGAAGCTGTTGAAATGTTGTTTATCACGCTTAATTATTTATAGCAGGAAAAATCTCACATAAGGTATGAGAGGTAGAAACTTAAGTGCAATATTCCACATTTCTTTTGAATTAACTTTTAAAAAATAAAATACTACTTGTATGTAGCAGGCTGTTAGATACCCATACCTATAGATGCTAGGTGAACACTGTGTTTTTCCAAAGCATTAGAGAGGAGGGGGAATAGGACTTCACCCTCAAGAAGGTAGTTTTACTAATGTATAACAGAGTCTCAATTTTTTTTTTTCTTCTAGCAACTGACCTTGTCAGCAGAGTTGACACCTATGCCTGAAGTAGCAGATTGCACTAAGCCCACTGCATAAGCAGATATCTCTGTGTCTTCATCTGCAGGTAAGAAGTTATGACCAAAAAACTTCAAATGAAAGTTTTCCTTCTCCCTTCTGAAAGCACTTGCACGTAAAGCATGCCAAGAACTCCTAAAGCGTTAAGAACTTCATAAATATATGTTCATCACTCCCCCTTTCTTCCTTGGGTTAGAAATCTGAGCAAGATCCCAGCCCTGCTGCTCTGTGCAACATCTCTTTTCTCGAAAGAGTTGTGTTCCAGACCAGACCAGACCTGCAATGGTCCTGCCAAGTTTCTCTCCTGTGATGGTGTGGTTGGTCTCCATGTATATGTGCCCTCCAGCTGTGTAAGAGGCTAACCTGTTGCTGGGGAGCATGCCATGAAGGAGAGGAGACTCTTGTCCCTGGCTGCTCTAGTTGTCAGCTCTTCTTGGGCAGCAGCTCTTGGTGCCAGCAACAGCTGGTAGGTGACTTGTAGGTCAGGCAATCGGCTGTGGCTGCACGTGGGTTTGGAGATTGCAGGCTGCAGCTGCCTCGTGGATTGTGCCGTAGACGTGCTCTGAGCAGAGGGCCCTGATCCCCTTTGATTTGGTAGAGTTCTTGACTTCACTTCATTTGGGGAGGGGACACTTTCTTTTTCTTAACCTTTCTTCAAATAGAAGTTCTGCAGGAGAAGTACTGTGACTGTAAAACACCCCTACCCCAAAGAGCTCTGCAGTCCAACTGTTTCACATTCTTAATGTGAGTGTGCACTTAAAACACAATGCTGGATATAAGGAGATGTCCTCAGTTTGGCAAGTCAGACGTTGCCAAAAATCCAGAAGAGATGTTGGGAAAAGAAAACGGTAGCAGGTAATGTTTTCCTGACAATGTGATTAATTTTTGATATAGTAGAAATATCAGAACTTGGAATTCAATGCTATAAAAATATGTACAGTGAGATTATGCATTGCTGTTACTTTTTGTATTGCTTTGATTTTTGAGTCCTCTGTTTTATGATGTAAATGAAGTTGGTGAAGAAAGGTAGAGAAATTCGCTCTGCTAATGTGTTCTGGAGTCTGAGCAGAACACAATTTCTTCTCCAGCTTGTCACTATTTGTAGGCCTTGCTTAAAGCTAATTTGTCTTATGTACATGTGTCAGCTGTACCAATCACACCTCCTTCTGCATTTTTGTGTACGAATACCTTTCTACAGCTCCTTCTGTTGCAAATATAATGTTTTGTAGTAGTATTCTATTGGTAATTGTAGCAGGTGAGGGACCAATGTAACTAAATAGAATACTTTAGTCATTTGCCAAAATGATAGCTCGCCTCGTGTTTAAGTTCTGTGTATCAGAAGTACAGGCAAGCATAAATGTACAGCAGCTTTTTCTTATTACAGGAAAGGCTGAAGCACACGATCATTGGTGATTCTTCCAGCCCTGTAAGGATAGGCGGTAATATTGTATGACAAAGTATTTACTTTCATTGTCCTTAACATAGTGTAGAATGTTAACTAGTAGAAATATATATACACACATATATAAAATGCACTCTGTATACTATATAGGAGCTTTGCTGAAGCGTACATACGTACAGCATTAGAAAAGCTGTATTGTCTTCAAGTCTAGCTTTAGAGACTGACACTGTCTTAAGTTGTCTTGTATTTGGGAGGTCTTTTTATTTATTCATTGAAGTACTTTGTGGTACTTTAGTAGGCTAGGGTGTAGGCTCGGTCAAGGCTCGGGACGGCGGCAGTGCAGTCACAGTGGGTGGGCAGAGCCAGGTGCTCGTGGATTCCGTTAGGTGTGTGAGTGGCAGCCCTTCGCCGATAGTCGTTCGTCGCCGAGGATGGATGCTCAAAAGAAAATCACTGCGCCCCATATCTATGCTGTTTCTGTTGCTGCTGTTGGATCCAGTTTGGGTACAACAGTGGACTCATCAATGCTCATGAGAAGATCATCCAGAGGTTCTTCAACAGAACCCTGTCAGAACGGAGAGGGAAGGTTGTCTTCCAAGAACTCCTCGCCTTTCTGTGGCCATCTTCTTGGTAGGAGGTATGATCAGCTCTTTCTCAGACTGTTCGTCAACAGATTTGGCAGGACGAACTCCATGTTACTGGTGAACATCTTGGCCTTTGCCGATGGTGCTCTTATGGCCTTCTCTTAAGATGGCAAAAGCAGTGGAGATGCTGATAATCGGTCACTTCATTATTGGCCTCTTCTGTGGTCTCTGCACTGGCTTTGAGCCCATGTACATAAGTGAGGTCTCACCCACCAGCCTCCGTGGAACCTTTGGCACCCTCAACCAGCTGGGCATTGTCGTGGGCATTCTGGTGGCCCGGATCTTTGGCCTGGAGAGCATCATGGGGACTGAAGAACTTTGGCCACTGCTTTTGGGATTCACGGTCCTCCCAGCTGCCCTGCAGTGTGTGGCTCTTCTTTTCTGCCTCAAGAGCCCCCGTTTCCTATTGATCAACAAGATGGAGGAAGAGAAAGCGCAAGCAGTTCTCCAGAAGCTCCATGATACGCAAGATGTGTCTCAAGACATCCTGGAGATGAAAGAAGAGAGTGCTAAAATGTCCCAGGAAAAGAAAGCAACTGTGCCAGAGCTCATCCGTTCTCCACATTCCCGTCAAGCCATTACAATTGCCATCATGCTGCAGCTCTCCCAACAGCTCTCAGGCATCAGTGCTGTATGCTATTATTCTATTGGGATTTTTGAAAGAGTTGGTATTACGCAGCCTGTATATGCCACTATTGGAGCTGGGGTGGTAAGCAGAGTCTTCACTGTTATCGCTGTTCCTGGTGGAGCGTGCAGGGCACAAGACTCTCCATTTAGTTGGCTTGGGTGGCATGGCTGCGTGTGCTGTTCTGATGACTGTCACTTTAGCTCTGAAGGACATTGTGGAGTGGATCAAATACATCAGCATTGCTGCCGCTTTTGGCTTTGTGGCTTTTTTTGAGATTGGGCCTGGCCCTATCCCGTGGTTCATCGTGGCAGAGCTCTTCAGCCAGGGCCCATGGCCTGCAGCCATGGCGGTGGCTGGTTGTTCCAACTGGACCTCCGATTTCTTGGTGGGAATGCTCTTCCCCTGTGCAGAGAAATTATATGGCTCCTATGTCTTCCTCATCTGCAGTGTTTTCCTGGTCATCTTCTTTGTCTTCACATTCTTCAAAGCACCGGAGACCAAAGGACTTTTGAAGACATCTCCAGGGGCTCTGAAGGACAAGCAGAAGACAGCTCCACATCACCTGAAGAGAAGAACCTCATGGTGGAGCTGAACACCATACAACCCGACAAAGAAATTCTCTAAGATTTATGACACACCCCTTCTTTGACTCTTAGATGGTTAAAGAGTGATTAAAGGAGTAAGCAAAGAAAACCTTGAACTGGGATGTTTCTTCCCCCCCTCAATTGCTGCTATTTTCTTCTTTGCACCCACATACTCTCCCATTCTGCCAGGCTTACCAGCATTAGGCAAATCTGATCTGGGTGCTCCCATTTTCAAGTACTGGAAGGCACCTGGCAGTTGCAAAAATAATCTCATCTTCCTTGTCACAAACATCAACAGAACAGAGAAGAGCTGGCAATATTTCTGCTTCTCTCACCTGTAATTGCTATTTGGGGTTAACATGCTTATGCATGTGGTGACTGTTATGTATTTGAACTTAATGACTATTTTTGTAGTGAGTTGAAGTGACCCACTAAACAAGTCCCTAGCCCTTTAAGTCTGCTTACTCTGTGTGCATGTGTGCAGTGTTACACTGGAATTTCACAAGCCTACCAAAAAGCCATCTCTTTACTTTTTCCTATCCAGTGTGCACTTTTTTCAGCCTCAGAAAAAAGGCGACCAAGTTACATGTGTATTTTTCCTGCTCTTTTATTTTGTTTGGTTTTTTTGTACAGACTGAAAGCATACTCTTAGTTAAGTTTGTTTCTTTGTATGTCATTTTGTAAATATTTATTTTTTAAATTGTGTATACAAAAGTGTACAGATAATTAAATCGCAAACATTTAAGATAAAATAGGTGTTTTAACAAAAGATGCTGTAGACTTGAGGTGCAATAAGACTGTAGAGGAGAACATGCAGTGCTAAATGGGAGATTGGGCATTTTGACAAGAGGATCGACTACACCCTCAGTAAGTTTGCAGATGACACCAAGTTGGGCAGGAGTGTTGATCTTCTTGAGGGTAGGGAGGCTTCTACAGAGGGATCTGGACAGGCTGGATCGATGGGCCGAGGCCAACTGTATGAGGTTCAGCCAGGCCAACTGCCGGGTCCTGCACTTGGGTCACAACAACCCCATGCAACGCTACAGACTTGGAAAGATGCCCTGTGGAGAAACACCTGGGGATGTTGGTTGACAACCGGCTGAACATGAGCCAGCAGTGTGCCTAGGTAGCCAAGCAGGCCGACAACATCCTGGCCTGTATCAGAAACAGCGTGGCCAGCAGGACCAGGGCAGTGATTGTCCCTCTGTACTCAGCACTGTTCTACTGAGGGTCCTGTAAGGGTGAAGCTTATTTACCATTTTAAAGTATTTCCAAGTATAATCTAAAATAGATGGAAGAAACTTGCTGGACTTTTAAATATAGAAACAAAGCTTTTATTCAAGAAATTTAATGTAGCAATTAATTTGACCTTGGCATTTCAGTGTAACCAGTGATGATAATGCTTTTTTCAGATCAAACATCTTGAAAAAATGGGAGTTGTTTGGTTTTGGAGATGGGCAATGGTGTGGCAGTGCCTTGTCTCCCAGCTGGCTGTAAACACCGTGTGCGGCATGTGTGCCCTGTGCATCTCCTCCTGTCCACACGGCTGCACTCTCCATCCCTTTCTTTGAAATAAAAGTCATAGCATAAAAGGGAATGCAGGAACCATGAGACATATTAAAATATATCTCTTGTTAACTTGTGGTGTCGGTGTAGTTCTCTACTCACTCTCTCAGTAAACCTGTATGATTTTCTTGACGTCGGTATGTAAGCTGTATTAAGGGTGAAGCACTGCTCATATTTCTCTGTTGCTGAAAGAACTGTGGCGGTCCGTGTCTAAAGCATACTTTCTGCCGTACCATATGTTAGCAATGCATTCAGCACTGATTTGCCAGTCAATGTGCTTGTATGTGCTCTAGTTCAGCTCCTGATTTTGAGTTTGTGTAGACAGCGCAAGCTGGAGGTAAAAATAAAAGTACATGGTAGTACAGACTCTCAAACTAAGATGTGACAAAAATGCTTTTGCAAATTTCTTGTACGTGCTTCGTATGCATATTAAGAGGGTCGTTTCAGCCACATGAGAAGTATCTTTGCCAAATGTGGTGTTATCAGAGATTTTCAGAAGAGTTTGCGTAATTTACTTAATGATTCGGAAACACGCCACAGTGTGGGGGTCCTTGTCAGATAAAGTCATAAATCTTTGCCTACTATTCAGAACATGCAAGCTATGTCATTCCCTCTCCCCTACACATACTTTTCTCACCTTTTTCACATAAGCATAGAAGGTATTGGCTGGAAGGGTCCTTGGGAGGTCATGTAGTCCAACATCTTGCTTAAACAGAACCATCGTCAGCACAGTATAAAGTCAGCTGTGGATTTGATCTGGCCATGTCTTGAAAACCTACAGGGGTGGAAGTTTTTACAGCCAGCCCAAGTAACCTGTTCCAGGGCTGCCCTACCCTCCCATAAAAAGTTTTTCCTGATACCCATTTTAGATCTCCATGCTATCCCTGGTCTTCAGAGCTCTTTGGATGCCGGTTGGAATGCTCCGTTCTCCCACCGTAGCGTGCTGGGGTTCTGGCAGACTTAGTACTCTCTAACTTCCAAACAAAATGTCTTAAGACACTTCTCTGAGTAGCGACTATAACAAAAATACTTGAAGTAGTACTGCTAACCTGACTTCTGATGAATATGTATAATGAAAGCTTTTTGGTAAGATTTAAGACTTATTTCACATCTCGGTGTTGAAATCTTCTTCAGAATTTGGTGAGGAGAAGAAATCGCCCTTCTTCCTTCTTTATTTTGTATCTGAAAGACTGACCATGTAGAAGTAGTACAGTGGTTTTATGAGAAGAAAACCGAAAAGGCCATGAGCAGTGTATTATGTAGTTGCCAGTGTCTAGTTCAATCTCTAATATAGCCTTAAAGAGTTTTAGAGGCTTGGAGCTTTTGGGGGGGTGGGGAGTGAACCTTTGCTGTCTTCATAGCTAGAGAACCTCCTATCTTCTTCACTGAAGCATAGCTCTACAAAATACAAAACTTCAATGTGAATGCAGGGAAGCCCTAGAAAAATAACTGGTAAGTATTAGTAGTTTCTGTCTCAGAGCTCATGTGATCTGAGATAGAAGAAAATACAGATTTCTGTGAGTAACGTATTGAACTTTCCATTTTCAATTCCATAGCGTGTATATAAATATTCTGCATGTAGCTGATGCAAAAGCGATGGCTCAAGTGAAAACAGAACTTTATCTAGAAAATATAGGTGGTAATATGGTTTTACAGTGGAATCTCAAATGCCTTTACTTTCCTGGGAGATGTGTTGAAAGCACCTACAGAATTGCTCGAATCACCAACTTCTCTTTGCTATGTCAGTGCCGGTAACGTGCTTGAAAGTGCTTTACAGGTAAAGAAAAATAGATGTTTTAAAATAGCATGGAAAGGGACCTCTATGTCATAGTCTATCACAAGTGGTTTAGATTCTCTTTTTACTGTGACATGTCTGTTCTGTTGGAGATTCTAAATTGAATTCACCACTCTTTTAATATCAGACCTGGGATATGCGTAGCATTGGTAAAATATGCTATCAAGCTGCAGTAGACCCCTTTGCAGGGTTATAAAATGGGTATATAGGCATGTGCATACATTATAATAGCATAAGCTTTTCCTAGGCATACTAGCAACACCTCACCTGCTAAGTTTGAACAGAAACTTAGGAATGATGAAGTGCTAACTAGTCAAATGGATGTGGTATCCACTCACTTGAAAGCTTGTAGGAACGTATGAGGTGGTGTGACTGGTAGCTATAGTTCCTCCTAAAGAGTGTTTCTAAAACTGTCGTCTGCCCTTCTGTATGAAACCACAGAGGTAAACTGGAGCTTGAGCTGTGTATATGTCTTGATAAGCCTGGGGAAGTGGTTCTGATGCTGAATTCCCTAGTTTTAAGCTAGGAGGATTTGAGTGCCGCAGTGTTCCCTTAGCAGTTCTGTTTGATTTTCATTATGTTCACATCACTATTTAGCAAAACTTTTGTCTCAGTACTTTATCCCACACTCTGTGCTAGCTGACATTTGACCTACTTGGATTGATTTCTCTATTAAGTGAGAGGAAGGTTGTACCTGTTTGACAGTTTTAGATGATAAGCTCTATTGGCAGTGATTTATGCTGAACTGGATTTGAATTGAACTAAGGTTTCCGATTTTGAATTAGGCTTTACACTGTGTTTCAGTGTTTCACATTTTCATCATCTTTCTCATGCTGCAATAAGCAAATACCTGTGCGTAATTAGTCATTATGACTTGTTAGCTGATTTTTATGTTCTCTCAGGAGTCATGCAGGGGATTTGGAGTGTGGGTTTTGGGGATTTTTTGAGTGCCAGTGCTGGCTAAATATTGAGACTGTAGATTGACCTCTGCAAGAGACTTCCTGTAGCCTCTACGCAGGTATTGCCATAGGCCAGTCTAAGGATCTCGGAGCCTGAATCTCAGTCTACGCCTTCACTGGTGCAATTTTAGTCTCTTTCCATGTGTTCTTGCAGTGAGCTGGCACTAATGCCACAGGACATAAGTAGGTTAAGAAAGTTTTGTGCAGATCTCATAAGTTTTATGTTAACAAAAATTTATTTCTGTTGGTCTATTTCAAAAGCTTTAGAGGGAATTTGTTTGTTTTTTGGCGAGTGTGGAAGTAACATTGTACTGTGGTTGACTCCCTCTGTTTGAGAAAATGAGTGCTTTCTACCACTGTGTTTGGGCCAAGGCAACATCCTTGGCGCTTCTGCCTGACAGAGACAACTTCAAGGTTAAAACTAACCATAGATTAGACAACTAGGATTGGGCTTCAAGGTGCAATCCTGTTTCATAAAGTGCTTGAAGGGCAACTTGACCTCTGCAAGAAAGTGTGGGTGTGTTGTGGTATTTTTTTTTTTAAAAAAGACAAAAAAAGACTGGAGCCTGAACATTATCTACCAGTTATATTGTACTGTACTCTACACTTCCTCTGATCTTGCAGCATCACAAGGAGAAGTGTCAGCAGAAGCAAGAAATCCTAATAGTTATCTGTTAGTATAACAGGACGGAAGGTTTGACTGTTCTGACTGCTCCCTGG